CAGCCAGACCGGCCAGCGGAATCGAGGAGGGTAATTCGTGTTTCTGTACAGCCAGTTTCATCAACCGATTTCGCAATTATCGAAGAAATAAGGGGACAATTGCATTTAGCTGCGACAAATCGCCACGCGAAAACTGTGCAACAAGCCGTGCATCGTCGGAAACGAGAGTCGCGGGAGGAAACAAACAACCCCGGAAACGTAATATGAAGTCCCAGGTCCGAGGACGTTAATCTAACGGCCTTGATGATGGTTGAAACCGTTTTACTCATCAAGATTGGTTTGTCGTTAGGGGTCCGTTTCCCGAAATTTTACTGACTCTTGATTGCTTTCCTCTGTGTCCGCCCTTTTCACGATCGCCCCCCAGCCCCGTCTTCAAATCGTCAATTTAAAGCTACGACCAGAGAACGAAACAGGGTGTCCCGAAATTCCCGGTCGATCAATTCGCTTCGACGAACACTGCGGACCGCACGAATCGAGCGATTTTCTTAGATAATCTGTCATTTCTGTCAATGTGTCCTGTTACGAGTAGATGTAAGCCATCGGCAACCATCATAAGGTCGTAAGGCCACGTTAGATGATCATTAAAAGTAGGAATATTTTATTTTATGTATAAGAAGCACTCCTTATTTAGCTAATGAGAGAAACGTTTATTTAATTTACTTATTTTCGAACTGTTTAATTTATCAACGATAATGAGTATCTTTTTGACCAGGTTTCAATTCAAACTTATTGTAACAAAAAGAAACAGATAAATAAACTAGTCAACTTATCAAATGTAGTTTTAAAGTCGTAACCAGATTATGCATTATAAGAACAATTACAATAAGATTTCCTAAAATAAAAAAAGGAAAAAGGAAATTCATCTGGTAACACTCCCTCCAACAATTCATTCCCTCACAGTACCTAACAAAGTTTAATCTTTGATGCTTCGATCACACATAAATTTGGTTCGCTTCCTGGTTGTCAATTACAGAAATTCACGATCACGATACGAGTGCTCGTGATTCAATACCCATTAAACACTACCAAAGAAATCTATAAGACTCTAGACCCTCCACTTCATTCTTCCCCGTTCAACGACGGCGCCACCAAAAGTCGACAGTTGAACGAATGAGCTGGCGAAGGTATCGGATAATACAGAGAAACGCGGAAACCAGTGGTTGGGGTGGGGGGATGAGGAACCGAGCAAAGCAGCCTAAGTGAAACGAATGTCGGTAGTTTCCCGAAGCAGTTTCGGGATGTTGCAACGGTGTCAACTTTGTCCATTAACCATCGATTTCTCTCGGCGCGTTAGCCAACTGGGCTGAAGCGTTTACCCCTTTTCGCTGATAGCGGCAACTTCGCCACGGCCTGACAACCTTTACAGTTTCACGTTCTTCTTTCGGAGTTTTTTTCCTTGCACACCCGTTAAACCATAGACGCCCGAACGGTGCCCGTTAATTGCTATCGTTGATGAAACACACCACCCTGGGCGAGATACTTGCCCAACTTCGGTGGTGTAATTTTATCCGAAACGCGAGGACGCGCCCGTTTGCGAAACTGGTTTGACTGGGAACGCTGAAAAATTCCGCTCCGTTCGATAGGAACTTTACGACGTTTGTGTAACGGGTGTGAAAGAGAATTACGCTCTGAGGGCCCAGAAAAATCGCAGTTAGGGCGATTGAACTTTAAGAGGCCTTCTCACTTTAGAAAAGTGATTTTCAAAGCTTCTGGAAAGGTTTTCTTTGGAAGAAGGAGCTCGATTTTATTGCATTATCTTCACGGAGTTTGGAAAATAAATTTTGTTTCAGTACGTTATTTAAACGAGGAAAACTGCTGTAAACAGGTGTGCCGAGAATGTGTTTTTAGCACTATGTTTATGGAAGTTCAAAGTTAGATTGTATTATTCTCTTTTAACGTTTAATTTTTAAGAACTTTTTGAGCATGTTTGTTTTGCATGGCGGCTCTACCTCGGGCCTCGAAAAGAGCACAATATTTGAGAACTTTAAAAAAAAAAAATAAAAAAAAAAACATAAGCCGGATCATCCTGGAATTTGGCGCATATTCTTATTGATTATCGAACTAGCTTTTACTACTTTATAGCTACAGAATCGATGTGTAGGCATGTACTACAATAATACGAATTTCCAGGAAAATATGTATATTTGAGGGAGAATGGTTTTCTCGAGAAATTCTTTTATACGTAATATTGTAATTATTTTAGTTATCAATTGAGTTAGTTGGCAAATTGGACACCTACTACTGCTCTTAAATTTATATTGTTTGACCTCTCTGTGTCATATGTTCATTATTTACTAAGCTTTCCAATTGAAACTACGAGAGAAAAGAAATACTATAAATATTATAATATAATATGAATTATGATTTTAATTTTAATATAGTATGAGTAATAACAATTTAAAATGAAGGAAATACTCACGTTGATTTAAATTTCCGTCAAAATTGATCATTCTAAAACAGTATCTATGCACAATATTTTACAACAAATACTATCTTCTATGAGAATAGAAAGTCAAACGTCTCTAATGACTTGTGATTTATTTCAGCTACTTCACCCTAATTTTCATCAGAGCCTTTGTCATTAATTAGCGACCATGCTCAAAGCGTATTAGAATTTTCAGCACCGTCGACCACAATTCCGTACACGACATTCGTGGACGAAAATAAGATAACAGAGTACTCAACTCCAAAACTGTTGTCCCTCTGCAGTTACTCGGCCAAAACTCATACGCTGTTCGCGGCAACAACGAAGAAAGGGTTCTGTCCTTTCATTTCGCGTTCCGCAACTTCTGTCCCCCAAGAGATGAATATAAATAAGGGTATCAAGACAATAATACTCTGTTGGTATTAATTCAAGTTATGCGTACGAAGACTTACCGTCGCGCGCGAAATTAGGTTTCCAGCATAGCTGACGCTCACGCCCTCTTACCAGGTTTGAATGACGAGTATTCAGCGAATGACGAGCAGGAGACGTGAATATTTGAGACCGACGCGAACTGATTTAACTGGCGTATTAATGCCAAGTAACACACACCTGCTTTATGAAGCCGTCTGACAATAGGACCATAACTCGGATTTAGTAAGTTAATCCGTTTGGCGGAAACGCGAGAGGGGTTGTTCCGCCTCTTTTAATTAAGAGTGCAATCATTCTATCGTAATCCAATACTCTATCTCCGCCCTGCCCATCGCAATTCTCTCAGTCTTATTCCCCCCTACAGTTAAATTCGCCGTAAAAAGTTTCAATCTGTCACCGGTTTGTCTTCGTTCGTCACACGATGTCGCTTGTCACGTTTGCGTTAGTGTTTCGTTGATTAAAAATTAGATGAAGAACTTTGCGAACTTTTACTATAATTTATTATAATTGTAAATATCTTCGACATTAGGGAGGATTTCAAAACACAAATTCTAAAATTATTAATTTGTGTGTTCATCAATATTTGAAAGAATATTTTTATCATCTATCCAAGACGAAGAATATCTTCCATCTAGTCGAAGAATATTCTTATTAGGATTGAAATGCTGATTACTTTTTGACAGTGTCAAATAAACATGAAGATACCCATCGTTTCCTGATAAGAAAAATATCAGTACTTATTTGGACCTCTTTCTACAAGACTGACATTTTCCAAACACAATTTCCACTACTCTACCGTATTTCCAAAAATATACTTTCTTAGGGTCTAGTTTCGAACGAGTAATAATACATATATTTTAATTAATTTGTGCAAAAGTCTATAAATCCCATCCCACGAGACAGTAAAAATGAATAAACACGTTCCCAACTGACATCTCATTTTACTCTGGAGCCGTTCAGATAATTAAACTACTACCTGTTCATTAAATGCGAATACGCACGCTGGATATTATAGAAATAAATGGCAGTTATGAACGGATATAAACAGAAGATTTTATACGATATTAATGCGTTAGGATGTGTGAAATATCACGAGCGTGACTAGTTTTCGTGAACGCTTCCTTTGATGCAGTAATAAAGCGTTTACTGTCGCGCGCAGCCATATACCACGAAACATAAGCTCCCCTTTATATCCCTAAACTCTTCTGTCGTTTCCCTGATCATCGCTCACGAATCAGTGGACGCTGCTCCCTCCGTGTACGTATGCTTCACGTTTGAATTTTAAGCAGCACTTTTAGCTCGCTACGCTCAACTTTTCCGCTACTTGATTATACCCAAGTGGTTGGGTGTAAAACAGCGACGATGTTTTCGCACTTTCAGTTTCTGCTTTTCTACGCTAACTCTCGGCTCTAACCTTAACCCTGTTTCCGACGACCTTATACTGGAAGTCGAGGACTACTCGAATAATTTAATAACAAAGTAGACGTAATCTTAATTGGTTTTTGGAGTAATCCAGAAATACATTTTCCTCGACGTTTCGTGGCGCGGTCGCTTGAAACATAATTGCTAGGAATAATACACGTTTCGACCACTGGTTTTGGTCGATTTTAGTTTATAAAAATAAAAGCCAGGATAAAAAAGTGATAGTTAAAAAGCTCTTATCTTAGCAAGTTATCTCTTAACAAAACGTAGCACGACTTTTAATTAGTTACTATTTATTATCGTATCGTCATTGTGAAAAACACATTGTTGATTTATAGCAATTTTAAGGTATTTCTCTGATAGACGGAAAAGAAAAATCTTTTCTGCATCCTATTCTATCGATCAACAGAACGTATCAGCTGTTGTAAGGAGCTAACATGAGCATCCATCCGCCTGCCTATGTTTACCAAACTCATTGTCAGAGATAAACCGTGACGTCGCTGGCTGAAGAAAATATTGTGTACATCATTGCATCGTGCAAACATGCATTAAAAGACGTAGGCAAGCAAATGTTGACAAATCAGTGACACAAGAAATTTTAAATAAAAAAGAAACGATGTGATAATTTAATTGAAAATAGAAAATGCAACTGAACACATTATAAAAAACTTCTCCTGTGTTCGTGTGCATTCTTTTTTATCTAAATAGTTAGTTATAAACTCACCCGTGGAGTGCACAATTCAAATCACGGTTTCGAAAAAAATCCTTGATGTTGTTGACGAACTGGATCCTGCAATCATAATATAAATTAAAAGTTAGAGAAAAGTTTTTTATTGATTTCTGTAAAAAATATTCTTACATGTTTCATCAGTAAATTATAATATTCAAGTTGTATGTTATGTAATTTATACATAAAACATTGTTACCTCCTTCAATCATAAGATCAAACGAAAGTCTTTCCAAATTTTTAAGATTCTACGAAAATCTTTTCTTCGTCAAAACGACGGAATTAAATGCAATTCGTTGATAATTCAGTAACGAGCACGTTAAGACTTAAGCGTGACACAAATTTTTCTTGGTCAACGGACGTTAATAACAGTGCATCTAAATTCGAGTTTAAGTTGATTAAAGTGCAGGAGGCGAGTACATCCTATTATTAGTGTCATAGCTTTCCGACCATGCTGGAAGCTGCTTAAATTTAATAGCTCGGAGTAAGCTTAAGGTAAGGTATATTTATATATTTTCCTGTTACACTTTGGTCGCGGAAATAAGTCTTAGCGTCAAGCAGAGAAAACTGAAAGCTCTTGTTGTCCCTTTTGACTTAAGGGAAATAGCAACTCTAGCGATTTATTTCTTTACACTCCATGGTGATACGTCAATGCCTATAGGTATCAACTTAAGTAGAAATAGCGAGTAATAGTCAGACGTACCAGCCAAGTCGTTCACAATCGCAGACGAACACCAGTAACCTTTATACTATATTTTCTTTAACATAACTTTTTAAAAGTGAACAATATTTCTCATTCATTTTCTTATATAGAATCATCACATTTTCCCATGCATTACCAATTGCACGATACTCTATTTTAAATGGTAAAGTGTATTCGATAATTACGAATATAAATTTCATTTCAATTTTTAAATTTATTTATTGATAAAGAACCATTTCGTTTTACAACTTTCATCGTCTATTCTTAATAGAATGACAAGGTTTCATTTAAAAAAAATCCTTCATCCACTAAGTAGATGTTGTCGTCTTCGAACAAAATAATTTCATTTACAAAAAGATTCCTTCATCCATTAAGTAGGTGTTGTCTACTAACAAAATAATTTGTTTGGTGTATGGTACAGGAACCCCCTAAAAAAAATCTTTAAAATTTGTTGTAGCTTGACCAATTTAAGTATATCCTAACAAAAAAAATTCGTGTGTCAAGTTTAATATCTGTTCTGTAAAATCATGTTATGTTTTGAATCAAAATATACAATTACAATTAAATCTTGAAAAAGAATTCTCGAATTTTGATTATGACTATTTCGTTCATCCCCCAAAAACGACGTTCTTCTTCGAACAACGAGTCACTTATGCTAAGAAAACAGTTTCAAAGTTTTCTCGCAACGTTACTCTAATAACTGTACTTTCCAAACGCTTCGAACAATAAACGATTCAATTAAACCCAATAAATGTAAATTTCTGGATCGCGCGCTAACGCCGTTTATAGGGAACGGAATACTTGCACACCGGTAAATCTCCGGCGTATTTCTATTCCCGTATCACGCGAGAGTTATTAAGGTCCTGTAAACCGCGTTGCATTTAGCCAACACCCCATAAAACTGTAAACACGTTGTCGACATTGGTTTTATCGCGTACTCATCGCAACGTGCCGAGTTCGGTTGGATTCATACGCTGCCAGTTAAACTGCACCATTGTTCGGACATGTACGGAAAATGTTCGGTACGTTATTTGATCAAGCTTCCCTATCGCATGGAGTCCTGCCGCCATGCGCAGAAACTGGACACATGGTTCGATGCCACTATCAATTTTAATACGTTGTATGCGTGTAGTAGTTTGAAAACGTTAATCGTCATCGCTACAATCAATTACGTTCGAAGTTTATCGCGGCGTTCGTGTGTGGCGTTTCCTTCTATCACAATTCAATTGTGAAATAATTCGCAATTATTTTAACATCGTGCTTTAGTTTCTGCAAAATGTTACTTAGGTGATGTTAAATCGTTTACAAATATGTAACCCGTATATTACGCTTTGCCAGAGACAAAAGTAATAAAAGCTACAGTTGCATGGGACACGTGTGAATCAAACACGTGATTCAGTATCGATTATATATAACAAATATACGTGCTCTTGTTTGTTTGCACTCGATCCATCGAAATGGTACTATGATGTAACGGATTTAATTTGTTGGTATTTCTACGCGATAGTTCGACCGTTTCTACTGGGTGTAATGTTTATATTTATTGAGTAAATATGATATTGGCCTGGAAACATGAATAACTTTTATCTTTGGTTAACTAATTATCCCAGAAATTTCTCAGTTAAATATAATAGTTCCTTCGTCTATATTACTCTTTGTTTTCCATCAATCATTAATCCTATACAGATATAGATTGCCACTTGTTCCGAGATTGTTTATAAGTAAAAGACATTTAAATATGATAATTAAAATTTATATTCAATGTGTCACTTTCCTTCGGTCCATTTTACATAAATTTACGATTTTATGTACATTCGCTAGAAATAGTTTTATTTTATGAATCTTGTTGCTAACAAACGTACATAGTATTCAGAACGAAAGTTTTCTATATTCCTCTTTAAGTCGACTGTAGTGAGATTGTTTCGCACTATGAAAGTCCGAATGAAATAAGCCCAATTTTGTATACCTCATACAAAATTATAATTTAATGAAACAACAAGAATGTAATGATTACTGAAAGAAAACATGATTGGAAATTATTTGGAAAACAAGAGGACGATAAGAACATGATTAGTAACAAAGGGGGAACTGAAGTGTATCTGTTATATATATATGACAGTAATGAAAAGTATTTACTGCAGGAAGGAAGAAAGAATAGTCTCAGGTTGGGGGAAATATAATACCACACGTAAGTAGTATGTGACGGCTGACTATAACGTCTGACCTAATACGCCTCCGAGTGAGCTCCTTTTCCTTCGCGGAATACAAAGTTGTGGAGCCCGTGAGAAAAAAATATCAGTACATGTACACCATAATTTCTTATGTATCGCCACTACATGTAAGTTACTCCTCATGCAATAATACTTATATTACTTAAATATATTAAAATATAAGAGGAGTAGGTATTACATTATTTTTATTTTTATAATTCTTACGTTACATCAACATCTTTGATACCTTTCAATTTTTAAGGTTTATGTAATACATTCATTATACCTAAAGGACCACCTATATACCTATCGTTCACAATATAAACGTTTGGACTACTGCTTAAAAATACAAAACAATCAAAACTCGTAATTAATTATACAGACACGACTAAATAGAATTCCAAGTCTCAGCTGTCAAACTTCACCATGTAACCGTGAGCGGACAACAAAAATTCCCCAAAACGAGTAAACATAAACGGGCGAAACGAACGAAAGACTACAGTTAGGCGCATAACTCTTTTTTTCAGCTTTTCGTAAAATGTACAACGCCTAAACAAATGGTCATTGAAATTGATTCACTTGATTAAAACAATGCTTCGTCGAGCGTCGGTGGCTCCGCTATATCACGCGAACAAAGGCGTTCATACTTTGTACACAAAAATACCGTCGGAAAGAGCACAAAATTGTACGACGAAGCGATTAAACCGTACGAATCAAAAAAGCGGCGCAAGTAATTGCATTTTGTACGAGCGTTTTTCCGGCAAAAATATTTCCACCGTCGCCGCTATGCCGTTGTTACGCATGGGGAATGAAAAAAAAAAAGAAAATAAAAAGCCAGAGAGACGGAAAAAAACAAATTAACGTCGGGGAAAAAATGTCCACCCCTAACTACTAAATCGTAACAGGTAGGTTGGAAAATGGGACAAAACAGTCCGCATACTCAATGAGCTGTTACAAACGTGGAGTGCACCATCCGACTCGAGTTTCCACCGTTAATTATATTCCGGACACGACTCGAAACATTCAGGCTAAATCCCTATTAGCGAATTCTTCGCGTCCCGCTATAAATTTCCCAGGGTCAGAAATTGCGTTTCAACCATCGTTCACGTCCTCAACCGGGTGAACATTAGAAGTTAGAGCGCTCAACAGCCGTCTATATTGTGTCCTAGCCTCCATCAATCGTCCGATACTACGACTCGATTAATTCTCATTAGATTCGCCAACTTCAACTTCCCCCGCAGCAAATCAGATTAATGTCGATCGCGACGTACACCCCCACGGCCGCCATTGTACTTCCTGGCAACTCGTTACCCTACATACGGAAACGGTACGATAAGGAAACAGTTTGGTAATTTTCAGCAAAGGATCCATTGGTGCATTGTTACATTTTCTTTGAGCATGCACTCCTGAGAACACTTTGTGTGGATTTAGAAAAAGTGAATATAAAATATATAATAAACTTTTTTCATATCTGTTTTTACAACCTTTGTTTTCGAGAAATCGATTTTCAACATTTCCATCGAACACTATATCGGCATGTTAATAATCATTACGGACCCGGTGTTTGTTTGTTTATGTGTTCAATAAACCATAATAAAAGTTCAACAACAATATAGTTTCTTCATGAGTAATTTCAAAAACCACCTCTATTACTGGTGTCCTTTAAGTTGTCCTTAAAGGGGTAACATTGTAACGTTTGTAAGAAATGGATGTCTGTTTGGAAGATTGTTCCCCCTGTATATTAAAATATTCGAAAGGAGAAATTCGACCACGTATAATTAACGTAGTCGAAGCGTGCAATTATACGCCTAGATGCAATTTTAACAACATGACGGTTAGCTCTCTCGCGATGTCCCGTGAAAATCGACCCAGCCCACTTTCCGGATAACATCGGCAATCGAGTTAAAACACCTTCCTCGTATCCTCAACACCGTGTTGCGAATACGTAACATTTTCCTACGCTGCGGGGAGGCCAATGGCCGAGCCACCGCACGAGCCAAGAAAATTTCCATAGATCCTTAACGCGTCGGTGGCGTACGCAAAGCGACAGACATTGCGGCAGGGTCGCGTCGTGCATCAGCCACAGGTGCCTTCTCGCAGTCTCGCCGACACGAGGCGTTTATGGATGTTGTAAAAGCGTCATCTCCCTCCCCGTGTTCGGGAACATATCGGCATCCTTCAGTGCGCCTTTGTGGCGTCCTCCTGTAGTCGGTTCTCACACCCTCGAGCACCCTTCGATGGATGCAACACGAACGCAAAATGACCGTTTCGCTTCGAACGTTGAAACGGTAGACTGTTCACTCGTCTATACCGTGATAGAGCAACAGTGAACTAAGCGTTGCTTACGTTTCCTTTCTGAGCGAATTGTGGGAATTCTTTCTTTCGCGTAATCTGTCTATGTTTGAATGGAAATGTCTTTTTGAGGTTTTTTTCTTTTATCGTTTACGACGTGATATTTTTGTAGTTGTGTATTGGGGATATTGGTGACAAGCTTGTCAATTTGGTGGATAAGCTTGAAGTATGGAGGGGAAAGGGTTACTGACCCTTGCAATTAGCTTTCGAGAGATTGTTATTAAAAACCTGAGTGGTAGAACTTTGAATTGATGGTGGCGTTTAATCGATATAGAATTCAGTAGTGGTCTTCAATCTTACATAGAAAGCAGTGAAATTATATTCTATTGTATTGAGTTATATTACATTATATTATATTGCATTATAATTATATATAAGTATATTTGAAATCAATACAATAAGAAAATATGTGTAGTAGTGACCTCATAATGCATCACCTTAGAAAAAGCACAATATTTAATATAATTCTCACATCAACAGTAACTGCCTACGCAAACATACAAAGATTGAATCATGACATTCGAATGCTTAAATATGTATGAAATTCATTCGTAACATTGGAAGTCTTATCAAATATTAGAGTATCAAAATATTCAAACATTAAATTATTCGAATAGTGCCAGCCCTGGTTTCAATGACCTTACAGTATGCTAAACACGCAATGATCGCGCCCGAATTAACTCGGACAACATAGTTGCCAGATAAATAAGTGAAACCATGCTTAGTGACCAAAATAATAAAGAGTCTAGTGCAACCAGGAATAAAGCATCTGAAGAAAATCATTTACACATAATATTTACAATGGAAACTTACATCGATCATCATGGAGATTTTTGTAATCTATAGTATTCTATAGTGCAAGGAATATTAAACATAACTTTATAGAAATTGCAATACGATAAAACATGGAATATTTATAATTCAAATATAAACTATACAACGTATGCGTCTTCATACAAAGGCAAGTATGACAAATTTAAATTAATTGTTATTTTAAGATAGTCAGAGGGAGAATAGTATTGTTCGTCTCGTGTAGATTTCATAAACAATTCTAAGACTAATGCAAAACAGTTTCAATTTAAACGTTCCATATCCTTTCCTTGCATCTAGAAACATCAAACAATATACAAGAAGTTTATCTATTAACGGTAAATATTTTAACGAGTAACTCTAAAAAGCAAGATAGGTTTAATCGATACCATATAAAATGCTATCATATACGATTAAAAAATAAACTACAAAAAAATTCATGAAATTTCCACAACTCTGCTATTTTTGCAGTAAAAAATTCCTTTTCCGCCTCCCTTAAATAGAAATAAAAAGAAGTACGCTTGTTTACGCTTCAACTCGTCACACTGGGCGATCGTCCAGCGCAGTTTTTGCCTGTTCTTCGCGTTTCCTGGTCTCCTGTACCGTTCTGGCATAGTATTAAAATCAATACGGTATGCGTTTGACTGGTACACCGTATTCACCGCTATTACCGCACGCGAGAGCCGCGGGGCCATACGTACACTGAGAAACGTGCACGTTTCTGTCTCTCAGCCTGCTCCTTCCCGATGCACGCGGGAATTGTAGCTGCAACTGCAGTGCCTTGCACCGGACAACCAACCGCTACGGTATGCCCTAACCCAGCCAAACGGCTGAGTGAATGAATAGTTGGGCTATTAGAGTGTGAAACTGTTACAATGCGGCACAAAGTTGGAAGGGGTTCGGCTGTTTGGTAGATGGCGTTCAAAGTCGCTGGATAATTTCATGCCAAGTTAATCAGACAACTCGTTGGTGCCTCTGGAGATGCACGCGATACAAAGGAAAACCGAAGAAGCGATCGAGAAGTTGAAATGGAACTTAAAAGGAAGCGAAATAGGGGTGGAAGATAAACAACCCTGAATTAAAAGTATCTCGACGCTTTATCAATTGGAGTAGGTATGTAAACTGTTACGAATCTAATAATTAACATTACTTGTGTTTTTGAAATTTGTTTGGATTACATTAGGGAATATTTCTTATCGATAGTTTATTTCATGTTTCACTAGTAACGAATAGTAATAAAGAGTAATTCAATTTTCATTTTATTAATGTATCCGCCATGTGTTCTTTCTTTCAACGAACCATGGTTAAACAAGACATCACACAATGTTTCTTTAATACACCGTGTAAAAGTTTATGAAGCATGGTGTACGGGAAACTTTTTGGAGCCCCTGTAACTTGTGATATCGAACAGTGTCCAAGACGCACGGATGTCACGTAACAGCTGCTGCTAATAGCCTGTTTAACCAGCAGTCCGAAACCTCTCATTCTCACGGCTAGACTAATTATAGTGTCCCGTCTTAAATTTGCGCATGTTGCGTGTCACGGGTCAACATTCCACGCGCGTAAATAGCTTCGGCGTTCTTTCGAATTCAGTGAAACGACCCGAGCTTGAAACCTTAAAACTGAACAATTGAAACGTTTCACTTTTCGTGTTTCGTAGCGAATCCAATATCGTTATCGCAATTAAATCTGAATTGGAAGACTTGGAAATTATTCGGCGGGTATTAATCGTTTCAGGAATTGTTTATTATTCGAGATTAATTTTAAAGAGAAATAAGGAATAATTTCTGTTGCCGTGTTATGTATTAAATTTTTAAATATTTATGATGTAAAGTAAAAGTGATTTTTTGGAAATTAAAATTTACAAGTCGTTCTGCACCTTAAATAATATGATGTCTAAAATAAAACTGATACGTAAGTTTCCTAAAATGAAAATAAATGTAAAATACGAATATGAAGAAGATAATATCAAATTTAATTTCAAAAGAAGAATACAGTAACTTTCAATTATGTACTCAGTAAAGCAAAAGAACATTAATGTGTAAAATTATTGGCACAATCTATTAAATGAGGTACAAAGATACAAAACACTGCATAAATATAAATCACAGTGGTCGTAACTGGCTTCTAAATCGATGCAATACCAAATAAATGAACTCAAAAGGAAGTCTGGGGTAAACGAGAGAATCTTTTTATGCATATTTATCAAATGGAAAACTGTCAAGTGAAAGTAACATTTCTACATATATACATTCTAAGAAATAGAAGCATACAACAACAGAATGAATAATTAAAACATACATAAATAACATACCTAAAGTAAACGCTGCGATGAATCGTGCGAATAAAAATAATATAAAAGAGGAAATCAACAAAAACGAATACAAAACCCACAACTGATAATGTAGACATATATGTAGATATATAAAATTAAAAAAGGGATTAAATGTAACAAAAGTCGTTGTATTCTGTCCGTTGTGTTCTAATTTGTACGAGGCAGGGTTTTCTGTTTATCGAAACAATTTATGAAGATAATCTCGAACCCCGTGCCAACATCTACTTGTTCACATATTACTTTCTTTAATACTTTGAGACCTCTAGAGACACTCTAGTTTTATTTAATTTTTCTAGCTTGAATAGATGCTTCTTTCATCTACAAAATTACTTCTGCAGACAATGCTAAAGTATAAGACAAAACATAATACATTGTGAAGTCTCTTTGGCAAAGAAGACAGCTTCAGAAAGTAAAATGCTGAATCATCAAACATTAATATAATATCCATGGTCCGACTGAGGTTTTCCTATAATATCTACTATCTTTTCTCAATGCAGATGGAAATTCACATTTGCAAAAATATTAGTTCAATATTCATTAAACAATAACAGTCTCTATTACTGAAAGAAGACTACAAAATATCTTTTACAGTACAATAGAATTTTTTACAAAGAATATAACTTATAAGCAAATTCAATTGTATAAATAATCCAATTTGAACAGAAATTCTATAAAGATCTTAATATAAATAAATGGAATCCTAAAATTACTTCCTTCAAACCTCCACTGTGAATCATGCTTGCGAACATACTAGCACATTATATAACTTTGAAAGTAACACCCCCCCACGAAAGTATCTCAAGACTTCCCCAGTGAATTTGGAATTGAATTCGCATGAACGCCAACTGGAAACCGATTTGGATTTTCCGTCTACGCGCTTAATCACTGACTGTATCAAATGTCGTGCATTGTAGCAAGCGTTATGGCGGATAGAATACTGTTGCGGAGGGAGTTACATTTGATACTAATTAATTAGCTACTGTCACTTCCCAGCGGCGTGGTCGTCCACCACCAAGGTTGCGGCGTGTACGTCAGTAGCTAGGCAGTCGCACTTGGATCACCGTAATACCTTATGCGCACGACATCCAGAAAATTAGGGGTTTAATTGTCCTCGACTGCGCTCGCGGCTGACTCGACAATTCACGCGAGAAGCGTCATACAAACCTGCCATGATACCCGACAGACGAGCGATAGGATTTTCATTGCTTCCTTTCCATAACTTATCCTCTCCTCCATAACGATCCTACAGGTTCTAGATTTATTAACAATTGACACTGGAAGTTAACGATTAGGTTGCTCGTTTGTTTGTTTACTTGAAAGTGGTTATTTTTCTGGTTAGGTGCACGATGTCCGTGCAAAAAGTATGACTCGTGACTCTCGTGGAAGAAAGTACTCTGGACGTGTTGAAAATAATTTTATTTGTTTAATTCGCCCCGGTGTTGCATCCATTTTTATTCCTAAAGATGGAATAGTTCATGAGTGGATTACATCTATTGATGTTGTTAGTATTCGGATAGGTGTTTGTGTATAGTTTCAAAAATGAATAAGATTTCAACAAATTACAGCGACCATTCAACTCTAGCTCACAAATACAAGTCGATTACTACAGTAAATCGTACCAAGCATCATATACTCTGAATTACTCTAATCTAACTTGTATACCTAGTTCCAAATTTCATCAAACACCTATAGGTTACTGCAGGATTATATTATCAATGGTATGACAGGAAGCGATTGTGATGAAGTATATATTTGCCAATCTAGTCTGTCGCAAGTCATACAATTCCAGTGTTGCAGGAAAAGGATGCAGTTAGATTATTCAACCTCAACTTTTTGCACATCTTCATTATGTAATAAGCTGTATTATTATAGGCATTATATTTTTCATTAAGTGACTTAATACTAAACTTCATTTTGTGGTGATTCATACTATATACAATATATTTATACATAATCACACAATTAAAGTTCAGTCATTCAATATTTTAATAACATTTATATTATATCCGTCTCATAGGAGTTATTTTATATATAGAGAAATTACACACATATTTATAATTTGACTATTCAAAATGTTTAGCGTTAGAAAGGCGCCACAGATGTTATATATTGTTTTGCGAGTACACCATAGCGGTCACTGGTAAAATATCGATCAATCCCGTAGTTAGTAATTGGAAGAAAAGAACAATCATTTGCCAGCGGCGGTACAGCGCAATTAAATAAACATTCGAATCAATTTCCGTGTGCATTTACGAAACGCCCACAAAATTTGCAGCGCTCGGTACGGTGTCGTCGTGTATTCGAAACCGGGTATTTACTGGGCAAGCAGAATTTTCGCGGTTACCATATCAATGGATGGGCACAATACGGTGCCCTCTCATTAACGTTTTATGATGATCCAGCCGCTTCCGAATATGCCGCCGTGCTGGTAATAAATTCCCTGTCACCATTAACATTAAAAGAAATAACCATGTGATACATCTTCCCCGTTATAGGGTGGCACATCGCATTATATCTAGAATATTCAAAGCGGTAACATCGCGTGCCAGCATTTTGTATTCGTGCCGTGCGCAAACTTAGTTACCGGGGGATCAATTCGAGGGAAGATGGCGATTGGGATGAGACCCGCGTTTTGGAAACGCTCCTAACAATGTCTAATTTCTTTTAGCTTTCAGGTTCGGATATTTTTAGATCGCTCGCTCTGACATTTCGCAGATCCTCTTTCCGATCAGACGACGTGCTCTATATTACTCTTATCCTTTAACGATTTTTAAATCATTGGTTCTTGCGCCTTTTAAGCGAGCAATTTACAACGGGTTACGAGGAGAATGTACGCGCAGGCTTCTGAGGTAAAAGTAATTAAAATTCTTAGAATATGTATCATATTGACATATTGATTATTGGATGCCAATCGCACCAAAAAGAATGAATATTATATTTTATATTAAAAGTTCATGCATACTTCGATCATTCAAAATACAATATGTATATTATCTAATATAATATACAATAATCTTGTATTTCTAATGATTGAGTTATATATATTCTCTTTAATCATCTAAATATTTTAATGGTTGTATCCCAATGAGGTTTGAAAAACAATTCGTTATGTTTTCATATTTATTCAAACATTTTTAGTTCACTTAAGGATGTTTCAAATCAGAGGGTCGAAAGGTCATGAATTATATAACGTTCGTGTCACGACTGTCGAACAGTGGCCTATATTTTTCTTTTTAAAAAAGGGAAGGTCCTTATTTCCAAATACTTGCTGCAACTGTCCAGCACGTTGACTACCCCACTCGTGTCAATTTCTACTACACTAGAAGCCACATAATCTAACATTTGGCTTAGTACTCATTTTTCCAACCTCGCTCGTGAATCCTATTCAAATTTATTTCCTTTAACGCCTCATCTCCGCAATTAATCTGTTTAGATCCTCAGCAAAGAGACTAGCCTCATCAAACGTAAACCAACGGGTTGCAGTGACGCAGCATTTGCGTTCAACATCGAGCAATCCGGATTTAGTCGAGACTTTTCGTTGTGCAATGAGTACACCCGGCGGAGAAACATCTCGAATTGCAATTCGAGTTCAATGGCATATCGCATGTCGTTGGAAACTGTGCTTCATAAAATTTTAACTCCCATTCTTCTCGTTCTTGCCCCCCACCCTCCCTCTCCCCCACCCCACACCACCCCCTCCTACAACTCGATATTCTCGATAACAGAGCCCCGGCATGAAACTCGAGCGCGATGCACTTTTCCAGAACGGCAGTCGGAA